CGTTTAGGTTTGAAACTGGTTGGCTTGCAAAGAAGGAGGTAACCGACCTTATTTAAAGTGCTTGGGAAAATTCTATTTCCATTGGATCTTTGGATTTTCAACTCCATAAAAAGCTTTTAAGTGTGAAGCATAAGCTTATTGCTTAGAAAAACAATAGGAGATTTAATGTGGAAAAAAAATTGATGAAGTGCTTAATTGCTTAACAGGTGGATTCAATTGTTCAAAATACAGGAGTTTTGTCTAAGGAGTTGGTTTTGGAGAGGAACTCTAAAATAAATGAGTTACATGAATTTCGAAGGATATAAGATGTCTATTGGAAGCAAAGATCCAGGGTCAAATGACTAAAAGAATGTGATTTAAATACACATTTTTTCATGCCATTGCAAATGCTCGGAGACGTCAGAATGATGTCTCTGGACGTTTGATTTATGGAATTAATCATGATGATGCAGATGGAATGTCTAATGCGATCATTAGTCATTTCAAATAAGCTTTCACCACTGAGGTAAAGGTTACAACTTGGTTAACCAGAGTGGGCTTTAGATATCTTCTGGCGAAATTGATAGCATTTCTTGATAAAGATGTTTCTATGGAAGAGTTGAAAAAAATTGTTTTTGGGCTTATTGGTGATAAGGCACCGGACCCTGACGGTTTTCCTCTTTCCTTTTCCACAAATTCTGGAATTTTGTTTGTGGTAAGTTGCTAGAAATGGTCTGTGGTTTTCTGTGCAGTGATGAGCTCTTTAGAAGAGTTAATTCCACTTTTATAGCTCCTATTCCAAAAAAGTCTGTAATTGCGAACCTTAGTGATATTAGGCCCATTAGCCTCCTCTCGAGCCTCTATAAAATTATCAATAAGGTATTGGCAGAAAGACTTAAAGTGGTCTTACTGGAGATTATCACTGGGCCCCAGTCTGCATTCATCAAGGATAGAATGATTACTGACAGTGTTTTCATTTCACAGGAGTGCATTCATTCGAGAACTCTGAGTGGTAGTTCTGGGATTGTGATCAAATTGGATATAGAAAAAGCTTACGACATGATTGAATGGAGTATTTTTCTAGAAATTATGAAGATTATGAGCTTTGGTGAAAAGTAGAGAAGTTGGATTTATGGGTGCGTATTATTATCTGCATATTTTTCTGTATTATTCAAAGGATGCCCTTCAGGTTTTTTTGGAGCCTCACGTGGGTTTTGTTAAGGTGATCCTTTGTCCCCTTTTCTGTTCACTATTTATGCACAGTGCTTCAGTTATTTTGTTCGAAATGTTGAAGGAAAAAGGCATTTTGTGGGCTTTCTTACGCCTAATAATGGTCTTTGTATTTCGCATTTACAATATGCAGATGTTACATTGCTTTTCTGTGAGGCTAAATGTAATCAGGTTATAAATATTGCTACGTTCTTGAAATGTTGTGAAGTAGCTTTGGGGCTTAAGGTTAATTTTGAGAAATCTGCAATGAATGGTATTAACTGTAATGCTTCTTTGGTCCTTTAACTTGTTGAGTTGCTTGGCTATAAAGTGGAAGCTTTTCCAATTGGGGATGTCAATTTCAGATGGACGTTTACCTATGGCTGTTTCGGACAAAGTTATTCAAAGGATACAAGTTAAGCTTGATTTATAAAAGTATAAATACCTCTCGTTGGGAGGTAAGATTGCCTTGGTTAAAGCTTGTTTGTCAAACTTACCAATCTATCATACGTGTTTATTGCAGATTCCTCCTCAGGTTGCTAAGAAAATTGAGTCGCTGATGAAAAACTTCCTCTGGGGTTAGTTTGAAAACTCCAAAAAGTACCATCTTCTATGAGGGGATAGGGTGTGCACTCATAGGAAGGAAGGAGGATTGGGTATTATGAAAATTAGACTTGTTAGCCAAGCCTTGCTTTGTAAATGGTGGTGGAGAAGCTTAAACTTCAAAGATCAGTTGTGGTGTCAAATTATTTATGCCAAGTATGGAGATGATAGATTTAAAATGTGGTTTGGAATGAAAAATGATACAGGGGCGATGTCTTATTGCTGGAGATCCATTAACTCGTGTAAATCTTTAATACATAGGGATATTAGATGGAATTTGGGAAATGACCGTAATATCTCCTTTTGGCATCATAAGTGGCTAGGTTCTTCTCCTTTGAAATATGTCTTCCCATTAGTTTTTCAGCGTATGGATGATCCCAATACCGTCATCCTTGATATTTTTGAAATCAAGGGCAATTAGGTTATTTGGAATATAGTTCTCCACTATAATAGAACTTAAGCTAGATTTTTCAAGACGACGTTGGTCTAATAGTTCTTCTTCAGGAGGTGTATATTTCGTAGAATACATCTGATGAAGTTGTTTGGGAGATTGACTCAAATGGTTTATATTCCCTGAAGTCAATGTATAGTTTACTTTTTCATGACCGTTGGAGGTGGTCGATGCTTGAAATTGTTGTTATCTGGAAGTGGCCTTTGCCGCTTAAAATTCCAGCTTTTTTGTAGCGAACAGTGCAAAATAAGGTTCTCACTGTTGATAATCTTATCAAGAGAGGTAAGATCTTGCCTAATATTTGCTTATTGGATAAGAATGATGCTGAAACATGCTCATATGTTTTTGCATTGTTCTTTTACGTTTAAAATTTGTCAGTGGTTTTTTTACCAGCTTGGGATCGCTTTGGTCATGCCTACGGCCGTCAAGGGGATTATTTCAAACTTAGCGGTATCTTTGCTTCCACAAACTGGAGTGACGATTTGGCAAATTGCGAGAGGGCCGATTCTTTGGGAAGTTTGGAAGGAAAGGAATATAAGAGAATTTGAGGGGATCGGTATGCCTATGAAAGAATTTTGGAGAAAATTTTATATTCTATTTGCCTTTCATGCTCAATTACAAAAGTTGGGAAAGATTTTCTTGAAGTGGATGGTAGGAGAAACTTATCGAATCTTTTCCATTTGAGATCAGTTAAGTGCAGGCCTCAGGGGAGATGGGTACCCCCTTCGGTAGGGGCTTTTAAACTTAATTTTGATAATAGCTCATTAGGAAACCCGGGTCCTGCTGGTATGGAGGAGTGGTAAGGGATTGGAATGGATTTGTTGTCTTTTCTTATGCAGACCCCCTGGGAGAGAAAATTGTAAATTGGGCAAAACTAGTGGCTCTCTTCAATGGCTTAAAACTTTTCGTGGCAAGAAATTTAGGGTCTTACTGTGTTGTAGAATGTGATTCGTTGAATGTCATAAAGTGGTGTAATAGCGAGCAAAACTCACATTCGGAATTTCGGTCCATCTTTAAATTTGGGGTTTGTCTAGGCCTTTCCTTTTTTCCTTTGTACATGTCTTCCGTGAGGCCAATGTATTAGTAGATTTCCTGGCCAAAGGAGGTACTGCTTTAACTAAGACTTTGGTCTCGGACTCTGTAATTTCATTTTAATCGTTGATTAATAAAGCTCTGAACTTCTATCAGAAAAAGAAAAAAAGATTTGTATAGTCGACTCTAGTCGAACTTAAAAATAGTTTGAAAAGGCTTAGAGGATGATGTTGTGCATGGCAAACAACAGCAAGGAAAAAAAACAAAAATAAAAATAATAAGGAACAAAACAAAAATAATAAGGAAAAAGAAAAATTAATAAGAAAAAAAAAACATAAGGTGATTTTTCTCATGGATTATAATAACAAGGAAACAAACAAAAAACAAAAATAATAAGGAAAAAATAATAGTAAGGAAAAAAAAATGGAGGATGATGTTGCATATGGAAAATAATAACAAGGAAAAAAACAAAAACAAAAATAATAAGGAAAAAATAATAATATGGAAAATATAAAAACAAAGGGGTATTTTTCTCATGAAAAACAATAACAAGGAAAAAAACAAAAAACAAAAATAATAAGAAAAAAATAATAGTAAGGAAAAAAACAAAAAATGGAGGATGATGTTGCATATGGAAAATAATAATGAAAAAACATACAAAAACAAAAATAATAATAATGCTGCACATGGAAAATAGTAATGAAAAAAAAAACAAAAACAATAAAGAAAAAATAATAATATGAAAAATTAAAAGACAAAAATAATTAAGAAAATAGCACGGTTGCATAAAATCATTGCCCTAAAGAAAAAAAACATGGTTGTATGAAATCATTGCCAACGGTTGCATGAAATCATTGCCCTAAAGAAAAATAACATGGTTGCATAAAATCATTGCCAACGGTTGCATGAAATCATTGGCCTAAAGAAAAATAACACAGTTGCATGAAATCATTGCTCTAAAGAGAAAAAAAAAAAAAACACACCGTTGCATGAAATCATTGCCCTAAAGAAAAAACAAAAACAAAAGAAAAAAAAAAAATAACACGGTTGCATGAAATCATTGCTCTAAAGAGAAAAAAAAAAAAAACAAAAAAAACAAAGAAAACATGAAATCATTGCCTTAAAAATAAAAAATAAAAAATAAAAACAAGATTGCATGAAATCATTGCCCCAAAAAAAAAAACAAAATAATAATGATAATACGGTTGCATGAAATCCTTGCCCTAAAGAAAAAAAACAAACAAACAAAAGTCCGACTTGCCCTAAATCATTGCTTTAAAGAGAAAAAAAAAAGACAAACACCGTTGCATGAAATCATTGCCCTAAAGAAAAAAATAGAAACAAAAAAAAAATAACACGGTTGCATGAAATCATTGCTCTAAAAAGAAAAAAAAAAAAACAAAAAAAACATGAAATCATTGCCCTAAAGAAAAGAAAAAAAAACACGGTTGTATGAAATCATCGCCTTCTTTATCATTGCCCCAAAGAAAAAAAGAAATATAATAATAATAATAATAATAACTCGGTCGCATGAAATCCTTGCCCTAAAGACAAAAAAAACAAAAAACAAAAGTCCGACCTGCCGGATTCGAACCAGCGACCTAAGGATCAAATCTGCAGCACTACAGTCCTCCGCTCTACCAACTGAGCTAAGGTCGGCTCGGGATTCGTTAGTACGGAATAAAATTTAAGACTATATCTATCGGAACCCCCGCACAATTTCTTTTTCCTCCCTTCTCTGTATTTCTGTTTTGACTTTTTTCACTCTCCACTTCTCTAGTATTCGAACTGCCACGCCTTACCGAGTGAGCCGTTCTGTGACCTGAAATGGTTGTTCTCAATTTAGGGTTTCCGTACACTCACCCTTTGTTCTTCCTCTCGACCCCTCTTTCTCGCTCCACACGTCAACAGCAAAATTCATGGAGATTGATTTCTTCCGGAGGAGACATATCAGGGCTGCGAACTAAATTTTCAAGGAACGGTGAAGAAGAGGAGACAACGCAGAGTTTGAATGTAGAGAGAGAAAAAGCACTAGAGGCTCTGCAACAGCTCGATAACCAGATTCAGAGCTCATTACAAAGAGAAACCAGAAGAAAAAGGAGCACAGCATATATAGGTGATTACACTACTTTTTCTTCACCAATCAACAGCATTAGAATGTTCGTTTGATGTTTGGCAACACGATGATATGATTGATAGAACAAAACACTTCCGATGATGCTAACAAACAAGCTAAAAACATGGAGATGGATTGGCGGAGTCTGAAAGTAACAGTAGTCAAGAAATTTTTTTTTTTTTCTTTTTTGGCCCAATGCTTTGTTCAATTTTGCTTAAAATTCAAACTGAATCAGCCATTGCTTCCCAACTTTGGCCAGATTTCTTAAGAAATAGACACGGTTATGAAGAGAAATTGGAAAAGCAAAATGGTGGTTTGTCATCAATTTCTGTGGATTTCTGCTAAAAATCTGAAAGATTTGCCGGATAGTTTTTGTCAAAGTTTGTTGTTTAGATACATCTGCTTAGAAATGAAACATCATTTGATCACTATATCTTCTTAACGAGTCATATGGAGAATTCAGATTCTTAATGGAGATGATGATAGAATCTTCAGATTTTTTTTCAGTCATTGATTATTTTCACATTTTCATAGGGAGATTTCTGAGCCTCCATGTACATGTTGATTTGTACTCTGAATTTTGGTTTTTTTTTTTTGGAAGTTAAGCTTGGTTTAAATGCCCAAAAGTATTTGAAGCTTGAAATCTCCACTTCCCTTGTACAAAATGGAAACAACACTATTTGAAGCTTGAAATCTCCACTATTGTTTACTATAAAAAATAAAAAATATTAGCTTGTCTATATGAATTTTCTCTACTCTTTTTCATGCGTTTCCTATGCATCTTTTTATATTCATAGGCATCATTACCTTGCTCTACTGTGGATGTTGTACGTTGTATATGCTTATCCTAATATCATTTTGTTTTGGTACTTTCTGATTTCTGGAGTTTTATTCGCTTATTGTTGAAGAGGAGGTAACCCATATTCATGTAATGATTCCCATGTCAAGAATGAGGATTTCCACAAAACATGCACACCATAGGAAAAATTCATGGGTACCTGATTTGTTCCGAAAATGACGAAATATCCTATCTACAAAATATCTTGGTTATTGCTATAGGAAATCGATATTAAACTTAACTGTCGTAGTTACCTAAGAAGGCAGTTGATCTATTGGTAGCTGGATCACTTGTGAGTGTTGCCAGTGATTTGTTAATGGGGAATGGGTTTTATTCTTGACAAATCTCTGAAGATGCCTTGTGATGGACACAGTAGTTAAGTGAGTTCATGATGTTATTAGAGGACGTCATGTTCCAAAGATGTTATAAGAAGACATCTCTTCGAGGATGTCCTAAGTAAAGTTAGTTGATTTAGGACTCATAGTGAGAGGGGATTAAATTGCGATTTTTATTGAATGTTATGGGGGAGGGTAGTAATTGACAATTCTATTTCATTAGGATGGATTAGTTTCCCTTAAAGGTGAGAAGTTTTTGTGAAAAGCCTGTTTTGATAGGCTATCTAGAAGTCCTAAATAAAAGGGGCATTCTGGGAAACAGAGTATATGGGATAGAGAGAGGAGTCTTTCCTAAACTTGTGGAGCAAAGAAGTAAGGAGTTACATAATTTTTCTTCAAGGGAGTTAGGAAACTTTGGATTTTTTTTTTTGGGTTGTTATTATCATTTTATTGGCTTGTATAAAGAATTAGATGTCCCAGGTAAGAGGTTTTCGGACCTGTTTGAATGGTTTGTTTTTTTTGTTTTTTGGTGTGAAGAAAAGAAGAGAAGAAGTTTTTTGCTTGATTTTGGGTCATTTTTTCTACTTTTTGTTGCTGAATTCTGCTGGCTTGAGGATTGAAAAGAAGGTGGATTTAGCTTCTCACCCTCATTTCGCATCAATGGGCTCTTGCCTCTTGGAATAAAACTCCAATTGCCCATGCCATGAGGCTTCAAATTTATCTAGCCTTGATTCATTCATTGGCTTCAAGATTGACCAGCACTCTAGACACTAATGGTCATGTTTGACCACCGATGAACCTCGGTGCTGCGTCAAACGTGATCTAATCTTTTTGGAATTTCGATCCTAATCTTATCATGCCACTGCCAATCAACCACACAAGTATCAAGTGGATCTGAATCCAATATGGTGAGATTCTAGATTGACCAGTGATCAGGTTTAGTGGCCATGATTGACCATCAGTGTGCCCGTTGCGACACCTCATGTGGCTTCCTGTGAGCTACATCCAAAGGGATGTTACATTGATTCTCAAGCTTTGTACCATGGGGCTGATCACATATCACTAATCTTTAGTCTTATCACTTGCAGCCTTGCAGGCATGTGTTGACCTTGGTCAATTTCTGTTTGAGTTTGTTTGGATTTAATGTGTTCCAAAATACACCAAATCCATGCAAAGACAAGTAGGTTTAATATCTTTAGTGTGTGGGAGAACAATTTTTTCTTTTTAAGCAGTTCGGTTAGTGGTGGTATTGAAACCCTTGTCATTACATTGCTGTTTCTCTGCCCTAACTAAACTGAAAGTTGTTGGAATTTGTCCCTTTTTCCTTCTCTGAGTTAATTTTGTTTGTTTGAATGATCTTGCACCATAGAACCATTGGGGGAAAATATTCCTTTCACCATTTTGTTCCACTGCTTCTCCAACAGAAGAAAGCATAAATAAATAATCATTTAATATAAATTCTCAAAAAAAAAAGATTTAATATGACATACAATCAATAAATGAGAATATTCATGTCAATGCTTGATCGATATTTCATTGTTTGAATGATCTTGCACCATAGAACTGTTGGGCCAACAGAAGAAAACACAAATAAATAATGATTTAATATGACATACAATCAATAAATGAGAGTACTCTGGTCAAATGCTTGATCGATATATTCATTGTTTGAATGATATTGCACCATAGAACGGTTGGGGGAAAATATTCCTTTCACAATTTTGTTCCACTACTCTTCCAACAAAAGAAAGCATAAGTAAAAAATGATTTAATATGACACACAATTAATGAATGGGAGTATAGACCCAACCTGTGGCTCTTGTAAAATGCTTGATCGGTATATTCACATATGGCTCAAACTAAGAAGAAGACTCAAGATTTAGATTTTTCCCTTATGGGAACTATGTTTCCTTACTTTTATAATTTTGGTGAAATCCAGCTTTTTCTCATATAGAAGAAATAAGATAAGGGTTTCGATAGAATATAGATTGACAGAAGATAGCACAGAGACTGAGGATAAAATTTCCTACTATATCCTGAATCCCACATTGGCACTGATGAGTCAAACGCTAATATACAATTTCAACACCAATAAGTTACAAAAATGCCTTTCAGATCTATTTACTCAATACATTTATGAATATGCTCGTTTGTACATATACCATATACTTTGTTCATTATACCATGCAGTCTATAATAGTACTGCTAGAATGCAAGGGTATCACAATGAAAATAAGGTAATTAATTGAAGAACTAAAGCATTATCGGCTGGCTGTTTGAATGGTTGGTCTCTAAGGCTAAAATGCTTAGAATTATTCTGTGCCCTTTATTATCAAATTATGATTGTGATAACTCCCATGTGCACTTTTTTATACTGATCAGTAAAAGATGACTCTGGAAGAAGTCTCGAAGTTCATTTCTTTGGTAATTTTATGTGACTTTATCTGAGAAAGATTCTTCCATGATCTTCTAGCCGTGCAACCTCTTCTGTTGGCATACAGCGGTTTAAATTAACCTCGCACAGGCAGTACAACTTGTGGTTGTCAGTCTCTTAAACTTTTGGAGATGCCCATGTTGAACTGAAGCAACTATAATTATCTATAGAAATTAACCTACTTTATATCTGAGAATATTCTTCTAACCAAGCAACCTCTTGAAATCCTATTACGGATTTTTGCTACCTTGTACAACATGTGGTTGTTTCCCTCGACTTTTTGGAAATGTCCATAATTCAAGTCAATAAAAGTATTGTTGAAAAGTTATTTAATCAAAATATACATGAAAAGTTATGACTCTTAATTTGGCCTTTATTGGGATCACATCATCTCGTTTTTTAGTTGATTCTCTTTGGCATAACTTGAGATTTCAGATTCTGACCGTAAGAGGATTTTGAGAGAAGCTGGTTTCGGAACTGAAGACGTGCCACAGTTTTCAAGCTCATTTCTTGCATATTCTGTTGTTGTTCTCCTTGTCCTAACTATTGTCAACAATGTACTCTTCAATATTTTCATAAGCTCACCACTGGAAGGCAAAGGAACTCAAAGTGTTCCCACAAAAGACCGTTTTCTTGCAGAGTAATGCTAAAGTTACAGTAGCTGGTTATGAATATTCACTAAGGAGGTATTTCCTTAAATTTGAGATTTGTTTATAGATGTGTTTGGATGTGCCATTTGTTCTCTCATCTTGATAGAATTGTAGTAATAAGATTTTAATGGTCATTGGTATCCTTGTTCTTGTGTATTGGGGAGGATCGTCATCTTTTCTTCTGACTGATTGCGTGAGAGGTCCTGCAATGGAAGAGCACCTGCATTCTAGGACCGTAACATGTTACAACTCTCTCTCTCTCTCTCTCTCTCTCACCTACATTCTAGAACCTACATTCGAGGTCCGTAAAATGTTTTTAAGAGAAAATGATAACATGATAATAAAGACTAAATATTTGATTTCATCTAAAGGGAGTTGTAAATCATTGTCAAAATCAGAAATATAAATGATAAAACAATTTGGGGAAAAAATGTCACAAAAATAATTAACAAAGCAAAAAATTGATCTTAGAGTTTGTGGTTTTGGTCCCAAAAGTTTTCTTAGGGCTTTTGTAGATCAATGTAATAGGAACATTTTGGGACAAATTTTAATGAATTTGGTAAAACAATTAGTGAGAAATTTAACATATCCAATATCAAGTTTGAAAAGTCCCAAAATATTGACTGGTCTTAAATAAATAATAATATGGATCCAAAAATATCATTCTGAAACAAATTTCAAATAATTTGTTGTAGAATTGAGGGAGAAATGAAAAGACAGGCAGATCGAGTCCTAAAAAATAGTAGGAAAAAAAGAGTCAATCTTGAGATGCCATAGATTTCGGGCTTCCATTGGAAACTTTTCTTTATGTTTTAGTGTAGATGAACAAGATTCAGAACAAATTGGAAAAGATATGAGAGATTTTGATGGAGAAGAAAGAGAAACCAATATTTTTCCAGATTTGTTGTATAAAACAAAACAAAAAATAGCTTGACTCAACCGATCCTTGGGAGACTTGGGCATAGTCCCCTTGTCTTTGGTTACATTTGAGAATGCTTCCAAAGTGTCATGCATAAGTTGGTACTCATGTCTCTGTGCTATGTAATTTATGGACCCTTGTTTTCATGATATTTTTTTTGCACGTCAACACTGATGCAACATCTCATAAAGGTCTTTTTTTTTTTCTTTTTCTTTTTTTCTTTTTATTTATGTAGATAGTGTACAAACGTGTCCTCTCTGAACTCTTTCAAGTTAGCATTTTCAACCAAATTTACGAAGATTGGACTAGACAGCAGTTCGGCAGCTGAATTGGTGATCGGACCCTTGCCCAGTCAGATACAAGCAACAAATCAGTATTTGTTGAGAGTTACTCAAAACCGATGGTTGATTGGTTTGACCGATTTGATCGTCCGTTTTATTTGATAAGCCCGTTCTATCTTTTCCCCATCTCTCTCTATTTTTTGGCTTGCTTTTTGACCTTTTATTATCCATTCTTTTTTAATTGTACATAATATTTTCATGGGTGTGGTCCGTTTTATTTGATAAGCCAGTTCTATCTTTTCCCCATCTCTCTCTATTTTTTGGCTTGCTTTTTGACCTTTTATTATCCAATCTTTTTTAATTGTACATAATATTTTCATGGGTGTGGTTTGCCTGATGCTCTAAACCGTTACAGTAAGGCGAGCTTTGAATAGTATTGAAAGATGTTGTTTCAATACTAGAAATCTTTGTGATGGTCTGAAACTTTATTTTCATCTCTAATTATAAAGTTTAGAGCTTAAAAAATAGTGTAGATCAAGCATATTTATGAACACTTAAATCTTAAAAATTAACAGTCCAAAAATACATTACAAGATGCATTATTTCCAAGACTTAAAATCCTTTTCTTTTGTTTTTTCATGTTCATACATCTGGAGGTTGAGATAATCAATTTGAGGATTTTTGGGCATTGAAACACCATCTGCTAATGAATTTATGAGGTGCACCTTACTTTGATTGTTTAGGATCTCGCCCTTATATAAATTTTTTCCTATTTTTATTTCTAAATACTTTATCAAAAAAATCTCACGAATTTGGTCAAAAAATCGTCTTGCTAAATGGCTAGAAGGAAACTATTTTGGTGCTTTCTACATTGTCATGCTTTTCTTTCTTTTCTTGCTCCATTTTTCTTTTTGGAAAAGTATTCAATGAGAATATTTACCTTTGGTACAAGGTGATCACAATTGATCTTGACCATTGGAAGTGAAATTAGATGGTTACATTTATTCCATTGACCAAGCTTAAACTTCAAAAGAAATTTTTTCGAACTTTGAGACACATCCAAGCCATCAGATTTCATATCGGGTGGTTGTAACTAATTGTGACCTCTTTTGTATTAAAGATAAATGGTCTCATTGTATACAATCCCTTTTCTTTTTATTTAAAAGAGTTATTTTTGTCTCTTTGGAAATCGATTGTCTCTTTGGAAATCGACGGATGCCATTACTTTATCTTTCTTTAACGGGAGTTTTTATTGGCTATATCTAAGTAATGACTTGTTATATCTATTTCTAGCTAATGGCAAATTTACTAGTGACAACTTACTAATTTTACTAAGAGTATGACCCTTGATAAAGCTAAATAGCAGATCCGGCGTAATCGATCCCAAATAATTAGAAAAAGGCTCTGCTGATGATGGTGATGATGATGAACTTACTAAATTTTACTAATGATAAATTTAGCTAATGGTAATTTACTAAAGGGTGCAATTTGCATAAGGTTGCAACCTCAAACAATCAAAGCAAGGTACGCCTCAAAACTTCGTCATAAGATGTCTTTTTTTTTTGATAAGGTTATAGCTTCATTAAGATAATGAAAAGAAATACAAGCAGCAAAACCAAAACCAAAACCAAAAAGGAAAGCAAGGGAAAAGAGCACCAAAAACCAACTAAGAGGTTGCTAATTTTGCTAAGGAATCAGTGTCTGAGTTGAACCCTCTGACAACATGGCTAAAGCGGACTTGAATATTCTTCATAAGAGCATGATTTCATCCATAAGGCCATAAAGGCGCCACTTGGTGGAGTCAGGGTCAAAGCACCAATTTATAACATTGGCTGAGTCACCTTCAATAACCACTCGTGGGAAGCAAAGATTGAGTTGAAGGATACCCATCTTTAAGGCCCAAACCTCTGCCTCATTAATCTCGCAAGAATGAAGACGACCAGAGATAGACGAGATCGTGTTCCCCAAGTGGTCACGGAGGATGCATCTATATCTTGCGATCAGGCCCCTGACGCTCCCATTGAAATTATGCTTGACCCAACCCACAAGGGGAGGCTTCCAAACAAATCTCAAAGGTCTAAGATAAGATTTGTAGACCATAAAACTTCTGAAATGAGCAAAGAAGAACTCCTTCGTGTAGAGATAGAGATACTAGAGATAGTCGAAGAGATATAAATAGTTGAAGATAGTTTTTAATTTTAAGTTTATCTTGTTTTGATGTAGATATCTCTCTTAAGCCTAGATATCTCTCTTGATAAGCCTAGATTAGTTCATTATTATCAATAACTGATTAGCCCTATATGTATAGGGGACACTGTATATTCTTGATAATTAATGAATACACAATGATTTTCCTGGAGGATTCAGAAGTTTCATCATGGTACTTCTTTCTTTTCACCATCGAATTCTGATTTTTCTGTTTCCAATAAACAATGGCATATGTGGCATCAGAGAGTTGGTCATCCGAATGCAAATGAATTAGATACTTTGTTTCGTTCTGGTTCATTACTTAATAAAGTACTTGATTTGAATTCTATCAATAAATCTTGTATTAGTTGTTCTTTAAATAAAAGCACCAGTTTGCCTTTTTTGACTCGAGTAGATAAAACAACTGCAAATTTTCCATCTCATTCATAGTGATGTGTGGGGTCCTGCTCCAACTTTATCTAGAATGGGATATAAGTATTTTGTTCTGTTCATTGATGATTGTACGCGCTATACCTGGATATACTTTATGCGTCATAAATCAGAAGTGTTCTCCCATTTTAAAACGTTTTTAGCCATGAATGGAACTCAGTTTAATACGGTCAGACTCCGGGGGAAATATTTATCTAATGATTTTTAAGACTTTTTGAAGACACAGGGTATTCAATCATAGAAAACTTGTCCATATACTCCACAACAAAAAGGCATAGCTGAAAGGAAAAACCTCCACATCTTAGAAGTTGTGAGGACCCTTATGCATGACTCTTGTATTCCTCATAGTTTTTGGGTTGAAGTTGTATCAACAACTGCTTATCTCATAAATCGCCTCCCGTCCTTGGTTTTGCATAAACAATCTCCTTATTATTTCTTATTTCATGTTCATCCTGATTATTCACTCTTGCATGTTTTTGGGTGTGTATGTTTCGTTTATCTTCCACCAGATAAACGAACAAAATTTTCGATTTAAGCAGTCACTTGTGTTTTTATGGGTTATTGCCCCAACCAAAAGGGGTTTCTTTGTTATGATCCAACAGCTCGTCGTATACGTATTTCTTGCAATGTTGTTTTTTTGAAAAGCATCTTTTATTACTCTTCAACTGTAAAATCATCAGGGTCCTCTACTCCTTTCTTTCCAGATTTCTCCATTGATAAACCATCATACCTTTTAGTGCCTCAATAGCAAGGCCAACAACACCAATCCACGCACACTCCATCTCACCAACCAGAGCAAGGTCAAACCTCCACCCTACCTGCAAGTGATTCTTTTTTTACTCCTATTGATAGCTCTACTCTGTTACGACGTTCTTCACGTGTACCTTACGCACCTGATCGATATGGTTTCTCCCTTGATGATTTTGACTTTTCACTACAACCAAGAGTTTTGTTTACTTTTTTTGATACAATTAAGGTTCATTTTAAAGACCTAGATCTATGTTTACTCCCTAAATCATTATTTTTCCCTTTAGATTCGGTGGATATTCCTCCCTCCTACCAGCAAGCCTTGACTATGCCTTGTTAGAAAGAGGCTATGGATGCAGAAATCAGTGCCTTGTTGAAAAACGATACTTGGGATCTTGTTCCGTGTCTTCCTCACACATCTATTATTGGCAGTAAATGGGTCTTTTCTGTGAAGCTTAAATCTGATGGAAGGATCGAGCGATATAAAGCACGATTAGTTGCTCAAGGTTACAAACAGGCATATGGCATAGACTATAATGAAATGTTTGCTCCTGTTGCTAAAATGACTACTGTACAAACCGTAATTGCCCTCTCCGTTATTCGTTAGTGGACTATATCTCAAATAGATATAAAAAATACATTTCTCCATGGACATTTGAATGCGACAGTATATATGTGACCTCCTCTTGGTTACTGTAATGATAAATCTATGGTATGTCATTTGAAAAAAGTCTTATATGGTTTAAAACAAGCTCCAAGAGCTTGATTTGAACGATTTCGACATGTCGTTCTGCATGCTGGGTTGAAACAAAATGCTCATGACTATTCGCTATTTACTCATTATTGTTCTTCAGGAATAACAATTCTTCTCCTATATGTTGATGATATTCGCTTCACAAGAGACAACCTGGATAATATCAGACACTTGAAAGCGCTTCTCAGTCAATCATTCAAAATGAAAGATTTGGGTTTGTTAACTTATTTTCTTGAGCTGGAGATTCATTATTCCCATAATGGATACATAGTGAATCAGAAGAAGCACACCAAAGACTTGATCAAACTGGCCAACTTATCTGATGAGAAACAAGTGGATACACAAATGGAGGTGAATGTTAAATAAAGAAAGAATGATGACGACAGACTTTTGGATCCTACTCTTTGTAGACAAGTGGTTGGGAGTCTACTTTATCTCACTATGACTCGTCCAGATATTTCTCATGCAGTTCAGGTCGTTAGCCAATTTGTTGTTGATCCTCATCACATCCACCTCTCTGCTGTCCATCGTATTATTCGTTATTTATAAGGTACATATCATAGAGGTCTATTATTCTCTTCTAACTCTTCTCTCCAGTTGCGAGCCTATGCCGATACGAATTGGGCAAGATGCCCCAATACTAGACGCTTACCCACTGGGTGGTGTATTTTTCTTGGAGATTCTCTCATCTCATGGAAATATAAGAAACAACAAACTGTGTCTAAATCTTCTGCAGAAGCCGAATACCGAGCAATGTCTTCAGCTTGTAGTGAAATTACTTGGTTGAGACGCCTTTTACAAGACCTCAATATTCTTCATCGAACTCCTATACCATTGTATGCTGATCATATGAGCGTCATACATATTGCACCCAATCCAGTGTTTCATGACCGTACAAAGCATATAGAAGTTGATTGTCATTTCATTCGTGACAAGTTTCTAGCCGGAGAAGTTACACTCTTATATATTACATCCCAGCAACAACTAGCAGATATCTTTACCAAGGCAATGACTCGTGCTCGTCATGACATCTCGTTGACAAACTGATGATGTTCACCCAACCTCAATTTGAGGGGCAGTGTCGAGATAGAGATAGTAGAGATAGTCGAGGAAATATAGATAATTGAGGATAGTTTTTAATTTTAAGTTTATCTTGTTTTGATGTAGA